CCTAACTCAAGGGATGAGCCAGTGCTGTGTCCAACTAAAGCAGCTTAAGTGGATATTTAGGCTCTTTTTAACTTTTTAAATTGTTCTTTGTTAAACAACTTAAATCTGAATACTTCACATAGAAAAGGGCCCCTAACTCAAGGGCTGAGCCAACTTAATTTTAAAGGAACTTTAGACTCTTTCTTACCTCATTTTCAGGCCTTGTACCTCATTATTAACTCATTGGCTGCCACGTCTTATATGTTTTTCAACGAGAGTGTCTGGGGGACGATCTGCTAAAGCTTGTCCGTAAATATGGGCTTCTAGACAGAGTATGTAGTAACAAATTGACCCTCTAGGGGGCAGTGCCACTTTTGATGGGAGATGAGCATAGACTGTAGGCAAATAAGAAAAAGGGAACGGTTCTATGAGAGAACATGTCGCCGGTGAGACGCAAGTCGAGGAAAAACGGAATAAGGTAGAAAGATTTTTTTTTCCTGATGAAAGAAGAGAGTCTACTCTTTCTTTTGGTGTGTTCGGTGTTTACATAGTCATAGCACAAACTATTCTGTGGCTCTTGAAAAATCTGTCAAAATGCTCAAAAAACTCTGGCAGTATGGGACTCTGTTCTGAAAATGGCTGCCAGTCAATGAGTTTAGGCGTAAAGCCGGGGTTAGAAACTCGTGGGAATCTGGTGTTAGCTAGCCAGGCTAACAGCTCTTAGGAGTTAATGCTAGCTGACCAAAAGCAGCCTGATTGGTTCTATTCTGTCATGTGGGTTTAAGAATATTAAATCTGAATTAACCTTGTCCCGATCCGATATCTGGATCGGATCGGCTGGCAGGAGAAAAGGCAGATCAAGTTTGTATTAATGTCCGATCCCACATTAGCATTAGCATCTGTAACCCACAGGTCTGTGTCCTAACCATTATATTGTTATCAGAGCAAATTCCTGTTCAACATGAGTCTGACAACTAAATAAGAAGATAAATAACTTTAAACTTTCAAGACATCCCTAATCTGAATATTTCTTCGTGGCCTTGCCTCATATTCGTAAACCAACACACAGAAAATGTTCTGTCAGCAGATCTCCTGGAACGCTGTGGTCGCTGTGCTGTAATATAATATTATTAAAAACGTTTTCAGTTCCTCTCGCTTGGCGGCGCAACCACGTCATGCCTCCAACGACTTCATAGTAATGAAGATAAAGTGCAGGAATTCAGACAAAAAGGTTTGTTTTTTGTTGATTCCCTGTTTATTTTGCACGTATTTAATATAAAACTGGACTCTTTCCCTTTCCTGTAGTCGTGGGCTTCTTCCTCCCTCTCCTATCTCCTCCTATCACTTCCTGTAGGTGTTCCCACACACACTCTGAGCCATGGTTCTGTCCCAGGTTTCTTCCTCCTAAAGACAGTTTTTCCCTCCCTGGGTCTCCTAGTGCTGCTCTTGGTGGGAACTGTTGTTCTTATGTAAATAACTCAGAGTCTGTTTGGAAAGCAGGAGATTCCTGTTGTTGGGATTTAGAGCTTTATATAAAATAAACTGACTTGAATTTAATTGAATATCCTATCCTGACTCTACCCCAGATCTCTGGACCCTCTACTCCTCTTTCTGTGCTTCCCTCTCTCTCTTTTTGCTGTCACTACTGATTCTGACTGGGGGTTTTCCTCCACAGATTTCATGAGATCTGGAACATTGCGTTTTAGAAAAAAGCTTTTAAATGCAGAAACATAAACATAAACAAGGGGGTTCAGCTTTCACCCAGAGCCCCACTAAGCCCACCTGGCCCCCCCAGACTCACCTGCTCTTCAGCTCCTGGATCTCCGAGCGCAGGTGGGCCGTTTCCTCTCGGTACTGAGAGATCTTACGCTCGTCGTCCTCGATCTGCTGGCTCTCCCTCTGCAGTTTGTTGATCAGGTAATCCTTAATTACGGAGAGGGTCGCCGTGGAGTTGTGCGCCAGCGTCTGCACGACTACAGCCCACACAACAGGTTATTAGACATTTATTACACCTTTATTACACATTTATTACAACTTCATTACACCTTTACTACACCTACATCACACTGTTATTAAACCTTTACTACACCTTTATCACACCTTTACTACACCTATACTACACCTATATTACAACTTTACTACACTTTTATCACACCTTTATCACAGCTATACTACACCTTTGTTACACCTTTATTACACCTTTATTACACATTTATAACAAATTCATTACACATTTATTAGCCATTTATCACACCTTTATTACACCTTTACTACACCTTTATTACACCTTTATTACACCTATATTACACTTTTATCAAACCTTTATCACAGCTATATTACACCTTTGTTACACCTTTATTACACCTTTACCACACCTTTATTACACCTTAACACCTTTAATACACCTTTATTACAGATTTACTACACCTTCATTACACCTTTACTACATTTTTATTATGCCTTTATTACACCTTTACAACACTTTTATTACACCTTTACTACACTTTTATTACACCTTTACTACACCTTTATCACACCTTTACTACACTTTTATTACACCTTTACCACACCTTTACCACACCTTTACTACACCTTTATCACACCGTTATTACACCGATTTACACCTTTACTACAACCTTTATCACACCTTTACTACACTTTTATCACACCTTTACTACACTTTTATCACACCTTTACTACACCTTTATCACACCTATACTACACCTTTACTACACTTTTATTATATCTTTATCACACCTTTACTACACCTTTACAACACTTTTATTACACCTTTATCACACCTTTACTACACCTTTATCACACTGTTATCACACCTTTATCACACCTTTATTACACCTTTTCTACACCTTTACTACACTTTTATCACACTTTTATCACACCTTTACTACACCTTTATCACACCGTTATTACACCGATTTACACCTTTACTACACTTTTATCACACTTTTATCACACCTTTACTACACCTTTATCACACCTTTACTACACTTTTATCACACCTTTACTACACCTTTACTACACTTTTATCACACCTTTACTACACCTTTATCACACCTTTATCACACCTATATCACACCTTTATCACAACTTCATTACACCTTTACTACACCTTTATTAAACCTTTACTATTCCTTTACTACACCTTTATCACACCTTTACTAGACCTTTACTACAGCTTTATCACGCCTTTACTACACTTTTATTACACCTTTACTACACTTTTATTACACCTTTATCACACCTTTACTACACCTTTACTACACTTTTATTACGCCTTTATTACACCTTTACTACACCTTTACTACACTTTTATTACACCTTTATCACACCTTTACTACACCTTTACTACACTTTTATTACACCTTTACTACACCTTTACTACACTTTTATTACGCCTTTATTACACCTTTACAACACTTTTTTTACACCTTTATCACACCTTTACTACACTTTTATTACACCTTTACATTTATTAAACCTTTACTACACCTTTATCACACCTTTACTACACTTTTATTATGCCTTTATTACACCTTTACAACACTTTTATCACACCTTTATCACACCTTTACACCACACCTTTACTACACCTTTATCACACCTTTCCAAAACCTTTATCACACGTTTACTACACGTTTACTACACCTTTACTACACTTTTATTACGCCTTTATTACACCTTTATTACACCTTTACTACACCTTTATCACACCTTTACTACACTTTTATTACACCGTTAGTACACCGATTTACACCTTTACTACAACCTTTATCACACCTTTACTACACCTATATCACACCTTTACTACACCTTTATTACGCCTTTATTACACCTTTACTACACTTTTACTACACCTTTATCACACCTTTACTACACTTTTATCACACCTTTACTACACTTTTATTACGCCTTTATTACACCTTTACAAGACTTTTATTACACCTTTACTACACCTTTACTACACCTTTATCACACCTTTACTACACCTTTATCACACCTTTATTCCA